CTCGTGCGGCGGCGGGTCCCGCTCTCCCATCCCATCCCATCCCATCCCATCCCGTCCCGTCCCGTCCCATCCCGACGGAGCGGAGCGCCCTGCTGCATTTTGTGGGCACGGGGTCTCCTGGCGAGCCGCGGAAAACATCCACATCTTCCCCTTTCTTTTCTCTCTTCTTCCTCTGCAAGCTGGGAGCTGCTGCGCCGCTCAGTGCATATTTTAATCATACATTTTAAGTTTTCTTTTCTGGAGAACGAACACCCTCATCACCATTGCACCACATTTCTACGGTTCTGGACAAATAATCTTATTAGCTGATTTTTGCTTATCCTAGGAAGCCATATTCGTGTCTTCCAGGACAACCTTGTAATGCTCCTTATAATTAGCCACATAAAGAGACATGCTTTTAACATGCATAAAATCCTTCTTCTGTGCTCCTGGAGTATCCTCAGCCTTTTGAAATCTCCAGGGTACTCAGATAAGCTTTTTGCTGCTGCATGTAATGAACAGGAGCCTCTCAAAAGCAGCAGCAGTTGATCTGCGAGGAGAAGGGGGCTCTTCACTGGTGTCCTCTGGCTCAGACATCATCTGTCTTTAATAAGAGCATCATTTATTGAGTAGTAACCGCATAGCGTGGTGCATAACCTTAGTTACAGCCTAACTTCATGCTACCCTATTAAGTTTAGGATGCTGTAAATTATTGGTGTAACTGCTTAGGGTGGTGTACAAGTTAAAAAGAGCATCTCTAACTTCATTTCCCTCCTGCGACCAAGCCAGTGTATGGAGAAGGGAGATTGTGTATTTAAGAGGATTCTCGTGTTTTGCTTCCCCCTAATATATATTTGTCTTTATTTGTATTTTAAGTTAAAGAAAAAAAGAAAAAGGAATAAGATGGCAAATTGTTTGCAGCAGCAGTGAAGATTAACAGTCCTGTGCGGACACTGTTACACAGACTGAGCAGACTAGATGACACAGGCACCAGCCAGTCAGAATTGACTTAATAGGGACTAACACTGTAGAATATACGCTCTTACCCATGAATAAATCCTAATAAAAGTATCTCATCTAACAGGAGGAAATCCTTCTGAAAGCAGATATGTGTGCAAGGGAGCCTGCTAAACTTCTGTGCTTTTGAAAATGTCCCTTTAAATACATAGGGAAGGGAATGAAGAAATATTCAGCCTATTCACCCTCCTAAATGAACTTCTTTTTTTATATAAAGTAAAGGCTTTTCAGGAAAATAATGAAATGAATCTTAAGAATTTAAGTAACACATTGTAGGTGATCTGCTATCCTTAACTCAGCTAAAACTGAATAAGCATTTAAGATCCCTCTGCTGCTCTCAGGCCTTATATGAACTGCAGTTGAGAACTCCTCTGAAGCATTACTTTGATTACAGTAAGAGCTACAGGATTAAAAGAGTAACATTAAGGTGCATCATAGACAAATGTGGTTTAAGGAGGTGTTTCTTAAAATCTTTCAAGATCATGGTAGATTAGCTGTCAGAAATTCCATTTTAATGTAAAAGGCAACCACAAATATCCCTTGTACTTAATGCTCATTGGATTTATCTGATTTTCACAGTAACTTTTCCTATTTACCTTGGATTCCGGCACCAAGCTGCAGTCACTCCTACCTCCTACATCTTCACTTTCCATGCGTGCACCATATGGGAATGAAGGAGACCTAAATTAACGCATTAAAGGCTCACAGGGTGTGAGCTCATGCAGCTGTAACTAAGCAGAGCCTCAGAGAGCGTATGGAGAGGAATATAGAAAGGCAACCTTATTTGCCTTGCAGAAATCATATTGACTGATGGATGGAGAGAGGAAAGCCATCCAACTTCAGATTAATTACATCTGACCTTGTAAACACTCCTAAATGTTCACAAGCGCTGTAGTGGCTACCATCCAGTTTAGCAATACAATTATATTGCTAAATATGAGAACACTTTCAAAAGGGACTGTATTATTCAATTCTATGTCCTACTGTGGGATTCTCAGGAATCTTCATTCCTCTGAAAGCGATATATATTACAGCAACATTGAGCCAGTGACAGAGGGAGCGTGAAGAAGTTCCAAAAAATAGAAGCATCAGTTAAAACGAAACAGGAAAATACATACCAAGAACTGCAGAGAGGCCTGTGAAATCAGTGGTTTGCTAGGATTGGGGACTGAATATCAGCTGTATAGGGAGGAAATAATATTTGGAGCTTGCTTCCAGAAATATTCGGGCTGAGTGAGCAATTCGTTCCCTATGAGCAAGTGAGCAAGTTTGGAGAGCAACAGAGGCACCTTGTAATTTCTGAAATGTGGGGGGAAAGTGTCCAAATCAAAAGACAGCCTGCAGGCTACAGGCACATGCACACACTGGAAACCACAAAGCATCAATCGTACCCCCCAAAAAAATAAAAAAAAAGATTTTTCCATGCTGAATAAAGAAAAACAAGTGTTGCAGCTATTACGTGATTCAGGTATAATTCCATAAGCCTGAAGTAGGCAATTATGTACTTTCTGCAGAGAAGAGCCCTCTGGAGTATTTGGACACAGTTTATGTTAACTTAGACTTACAAAACAGAAATAAATTGATTTCAGCTGATTTCACAAGTCACTTCAGTCCTAATGATGTCAAGTCATGCTCATTGGCAGCTAGAAGGACGAGTGGAAAGCTTTCTGCATGCACCTTCAGCATGTTCTGGATCTTTGGGGGCCTTTTTGTATTGTCTTGCCCAAGACTCCTAAGCCTTAAGCAAATCCGTAGCTAACAGAATCAGAATCGTTAAGGTTGGAAGGGACCTCTAGAGATCATCTAGTCCAACCCCCTGCACACGCAGGGTCACCTAGAGCACGTGGCACAGGACTGCGTCCAAGCGGGTTTGAACATCTCCAGAGAAGGAGACTCCACAACCTCTCTGGGCAGCCTGTTCCAGGGCTCTGGCACCCTCACTGTCAAGAAATTTTTCCTTAAGTTCCTGTGGAACTTTTGGTGTTTCAGTTTGTGGCCATTTCCTCTAGTTCTGTCGGTGGCCACCAGTGAAAAGAGGCCGGCCCCATCCTCCTCAAACAGGTTGGAGGCTCTCGACTTCGAAGCTTCAATACACAATACAAGGTTTTGCATCTCAACATACGGTTGCATACAGTCATGTATATTTATTCAGCTTGGATACTTTTTAAGCAATTTTCCTTTCTGCTTGAGCAGCGGTGTTCACAGTTCCGTTCAACATTATTTTCCAAATTAAGAGAAGATGGTTTGTGTAAGCATCATGTTAGGAATTTCACCGTGGAAATGGGCAGTATGGGACAGCAGCCCGTCTATACTGAAATTCTAGCTTCCTGAAAGAAGCTAGAAACCTCCTTTTGAAATTTTCTTCAATTTTTTATCCTTTTTTTTTTTTTTCTAGAAAGATAAGGCATACCACTGCACCTTTTATTGTGTCTCAAAACAACATAAATTTTCCGGTTCTCCCATTTTAGTTTGTTGTCGTGCAATGATTAGGTATCTGCCCAGATGGTGATTGTGAATTTCCTTAGCCAGATCAATGAGCTGCTATTCCCAGGAGTAATGTCCCCAGCTCTAAATGCAGTGCTTTTGTGACTAGCTGCTCGCTCCTCGAAAGGTTGGCAATAGCAAAACATCGTTACGTATGCAAATAGCAAATTTGGCCTATAGCAAAACACAGTTAAAAGCCAGCTTCATAATGCACATCCATAAATTGTAATCACTAGATAAGAGCAGCCAGGTACTGAGGCCTATGTGCTGAATGCCACCTATGAAATTAGCTTGCGCTGACCTGCAGTTTTGTAGGATTTGCCTCACACTGCTATTAACTTAATTGCTTTAAGGTGATACAAAATTAAATTATGTTTAATTATATTGATATTAATAGCAGTATCAACTTTCCTTCAGCCTCTAATTAATGCCTTTCTTGTTCTAAGCAGGACTAGAATATGGATTTAGGATTCGAAGACCATAACAACGGGACACCCACCAAGAACACCTCTGCTACCACGAGGAGTTTTTCTGCCTGGGAGGATTATAAGAGCAGTGTTGATGACATACAGTACTTTCTCATTGGGTTGTACACGTTTATAAGTCTGGCTGGCTTCATGGGGAATCTCTTCATACTGATGGCTCTGCTGAAACGCAAGCAGAAGACAACAATAAACATCCTGATTGGCAACCTGGCCTTTTCGGACATCTTAGTGGTGCTGTTTTGTTCCCCTTTCACGCTCACGTCTGTCCTGCTGGACCAGTGGATGTTTGGCACGCTGATGTGCCACGTCATGCCCTTCCTCCAATGCGCGTCCGTTCTGGTTTCCACTTTAATGTTAATGTCTATCGCTGTAGTCAGATACCGGATGATAAAACACCCCCTTTCCAGCAATTTAACAGCAAAACAAGGCTACGTCTTAATAGCAATCATTTGGGCCCTTGGCTGTACCATTTGCTCCCCTCTGCCGTTTTTCCACAGAGTTGTAGATCTCAGTGAAACCCTCAATTTAGAGGCGCTGGCGGGCAGGTTTCTGTGCATTGAGTCATGGCCCTCTGACTCCTACAGAATTGCCTTCACGATATCCTTGTTACTCATGCAATATATATTGCCTTTGGTATGCCTGACCGCTAGCCACACCAGCGTGTGCAGGAGCGTCGGCTCCCGGCTCTCGAGCGCCGAGAACAAATTTGAGGAAAACGAGATGATCAACCTGACCATCCCGCCGTCCAAGAGCGCCGGCGCTCAGGGACAGCCCTCCAGCCGTTCCAGGTGGAGCTGTGCATTTATCGGGAAGCACCACAAGAGATACAGCAAGAAGACCTCGAGCGTGATGCCGGCTATCCTGAGGAACCACCAGGACTCTCATTTCAGAGAGCTCCCAGAAAGCTCTTGCACGGAAAAGAGCCAGCTCTCTTCATCCAGCAAGTTCATCCCAGGGGTGCCTATCTGTTTTGAGATGAAACCCAAAGAAAATACGGAGATCCAAGACATGATTGCGGTATCCCGATCCATCGTCAGGATTAAGACAAGATCTAGGAGAGTTTTCTGCAGACTGACAGTGTTGATCTTGGTTTTTGCTTTCAGCTGGATGCCTCTTCACCTTTTCCACATTGTAACAGATTTTAATGCCAATCTCATTTCAAACAGACATTTTAAATTAGTGTATTGTATATGCCATTTACTGGGTATGATGTCTTGCTGCTTGAATCCCATCCTATATGGGTTTCTAAACAACAGCATAAAAGCTGATTTATTGTCCCTTATTCCATGTAGCCAAATACCATGATTTTTGAGCCTCAGTATAAAATAAATCAAAAAAAGGCTTTCGACTATACAGACCTGTACAGCTTTACAAACTATATCAGTTAATCTGGCTGGTTATGATTAAAAGCATCTCAGTAAATGGTTAGTTCTAAGGCTGCATGTATGTCTTGCATTGAGCAGAAATATATATTTATATTGTAATATTCTTCCTCTATCTGTTCTCCATTGAAAATTATGCCCAGAGCACAAAACTGGAATACCATTTTCATTGCCTCCAATTACAGACCTGTACTTTGGAAATATTCAGTGTACAATGAGTAGCAAATGTACAACTCAGACATATCAGTATTAACTACTGTAAGACTATAATAAAATGTATCTTTCACTAAGAATTGTTCAGTCTGAGTACCAATCTTGACTGTTTTATAAAGTAAAATAAAATCTTTGTTTCTGGATGTGGTTAGAAAAATATTTTTCCTTAGATAGTTCATACTTTGCAATATCTTTGTGAGATCCTTTGCTGATGCCCGATTTGTCTTATTCCCTGGAATGTTTTTATAGCTAGTTGTTATTGCACTGCTTGTTTCCATCTTGCTGTACTAACCCAGTACAACCTACCTCTAATTTCCTTTAGCCAATTTTTACCCTCTCTCATCATTTGATATATATATTTTTTTTCTTTCAGAAAGCAAATCTCACTGTCCTTCCTTGTAGATGAATCAACCTGCTTTGGAGAGCTGCAACAACCTTCAGATATACATGAACACCCACTCACATATGCCTTCTGCCTCTCTTTCCTTTTTATTTTTAACTAGAAAAGTGTTTTCTTTTTTTTGCAAGTTTAAATCACATCCATCTTCCCTGAGGAATCCATATTATAGTTACATAGCACAAATACAAAGAATATATATTCTATTTTTCTCTTGATTACTCTAACTCAATAATTTTCTCCTTTGCCCTCAGGGTTCAATAAATGTACAAAGGCTCTGCTGTAGCTATACCTCTAATCTGAGTTTTAGGCTATAAGACTTTTCCTGAGGTCTACCTGATGAATCTTTCTTGTTCTCCATTAAGATTTATAATTTGATGGCACTGGAAAAAAGCAGCTTTTGGGGGACTGCAAAACAGGGTGGAAAAGAAGATTAAAAAAAAGGGCAAAATAGCAGATAATTTAATGTGAAATAACAGTGTTTAATAGTCACAAGCAAAAAATAACAGGAAAGGATCAGCAAAAATCCTGGAAAACATAAAAGCTTGACAGAGCACCTGAAGTCAGCATTATTAGGCAGCTTTTACATGAGACAGGAAAACCTTATATCAAAAAGTGCAAATAATAAGTACTGTAATAATAAGCTCTCTCAAAAGAACACTTTCTGTTGTGTTTTTATTTAGAGAATCTCCAAGTATTTAACTCTGTTGAACTCCTCTGTGAATTAGTATTTCCCTGCTCCTACAGCGCATTTTTAGTAGAGATCTCAAAGGGGTTGAGAAAAAAGGTGATCAAGGCAACTCTCATGTCACACAGGTGCGAAATAACCCTCGAGGTGGTGACCTTGTCCCCTGACAGTCACAGGGGGACTACACACCAATTCCTACAGCTGCACAAGCACAAAAACACATCAAATTAAGGCCAGAACTGCCCATCTGGCCAGGGAGCCAAGCCCTGCTTCAGCTCTGAGACGGCCAAACTCCCTCAGCCATGGCCTTGCTCATGGAAGAGCAACAACAAAGACCACAACACAGTTCATCCAGTCTCGTCTGGGCTTGGGAATAGAATCATAGGATCACAGAATGCTGAAGGTTGGCAGGGACCTCTAGAGATCATCTAGTCCAACCCCCCTGCACACGCAGGGTCACCTAGAGCACGTGGCACAGGACTGCGTCCAAGCGGGTTTGAAGATCTCCAGAGAAGGAGACTCCACAACCTCTCTGGGCAGCCTGTTCCAGGGCTCTGCCACCCTCACTGGTGAGAAATTTTTCCTTAAGTTCCTGTGGAACTTCTGGTGCTTCAGTTTCTGGCCATTACCTCTAGTTCTGTTGGTGGCCACCAGTGAAAAGAGACCAGCCCCATCCTCCTCACTGCCCCCCTTGAGGTACTTCTAGACACTGCTCAGGTCCCCTCTCAGCCTTCTCTTCTCCAGCTGAACAGGCCCAGCTCCCTCAGCCTCTCCTCACTTAACACACCCCAGGATCCCATTGGCCTTCTTGGCCATGAGGGCACCCTGCTGCCTCATGGTCACCTTGTCGTCCACCATGACACCCAGGTCCCTCTCTGCAGAGCTGCTCTCCAGAAGGTCCCCAGCCTGTTCTGGTGTCTGGGGTTATTCCTCCCCAGGTGCAGGACCTTGCACTTGGCCTTGTTGAATGTCATGAGATTTTTCACCGCCCAGTTGTCCAGTCTGTCCAGGTCCCTCTGGATGGCAGCGATAATTCAGGACATCAGAGCCTGCAGATGATCGATGTCTCACACAGCTCCTGTACATCCCATTTCCCCTAGTTTCTTCAGATTAAGAGACATACGTCACTCCCTTAACCAGGGCTGTTATAGTAAATGAGGGAAGGCTAGACATTCCCAGTCACATAAAATGAAACTTCTTGAAGATAGACCCTGGAAATAAAGCACTAAAGTCCATACAGTGCCACTGTCTTGGCATGGTACAGATTTTAGTGCTCTTGGGTTTTTAGATGCCTTTTCCAGGGGTGAACTCCTTGGGGAGTCTTTTGAGAAAGGCCTCTGGAAAACTGGCTTGAAAGAGGCCTTTGAATCACACAGAAGGTTTTGGCAGCATTGAAAACAGAAACCAGGCTTCCCTTTTCCCAGGAAAGGAACCAAATGTCATCTTTCTCCTCTATATATTTCATTTTAATATTTCTGCATCTCCTAAAATGGAAAACATAAGAGAAATAACTCAGAAGTGTTTCACTACATAACTGCTGTTTTAAGGAAGAATTATGTTAGGTTCCTATCAGGAATACAGCTTAGGAAACGCTTTCTCACATACTGTGTGACCCCGCTCTCTTTTTATACTTCCAGGGATTCCACATAGCCTTACCAAGCTGAGAAATAAAAATTTTTAATTTGAGGGATGGGAAGCGTCATTGTAAATATACATATATTTATATATATGCCTTGAAATACTTCCTCTCACATCAATACTTAGAAGAATACTTACTTCTTTTTTGAAGGAATTGATAAATTATTTTTACTGCAATATTACAATTCTGGGATGTTTTCTCCCCAAGCTATTTTCTGCTAAGGAGTTTATTACATACCAGTCAGTAATATCTTTGCTTCTGCCATTAAGGTATTTCCCTGAAGCCTAATTCCCAGTAACCCGTTGTTCTTTGTTTCTACTATTGATATGCTTTCCTACTCACTTCCTGGACACTGTTGCCTTCTGAGGGTTATTATCTCCTAAAAACTCTCAGTATGTCATTTGATGGGAAACAAACAGTACAGAATACAGGATATTGGAGCAATATTTTTAAAAAAATGGCTTTAAGAAAGGTTTTACATAGCTTAATTTAAGAATAATTATAGATAACTCTTGGTAGACAAAAGGGAAAAAAAAAGAATTAGATCTGAATCCAGAATACATGCAGTTCTGCCAAAGTTACAGCAATTTATATCCACTCAAGTCTATGCATTTTCGTGTCAAAGTATATTATTTAACCTTGTTTATACCATGTGATGCAATTAAATAGGATGACAGAATAAGATAGCGGTCACTGCTTCAAGTTGAAACATCCCTTCTCATTTTACTTAATTTTACCGTTGCTTTCCTTTCTGCTTGCTATTTATTTTTTCCTTGATTTCTTCAAGTACTTTCAGAATTCCAGCCGTTACCACCTTCGGCACTTAGGAAGGTGATCAAAACACACAACAAGAAATCCTGGAGAGGTGGCATGGATGACTTCCCTCCGGCCTAGTGTTCACAGTAAGTGCTGCATAACCCCACTGATGTTCTCCAGTAGGTCCTACCAGTGCTTGTGGCTACACCAAATTCCTTCCAGACCCCTGTTCGCTTGGGTAATTGGAGAGACACCTTGGAAAAATTTGGTTCTTCTCCTCTGATATGTTCAGCCATGTGCTGCACACAGAGGCTCA